ACTCAGAAATCCTTCTGCCTCTGCCTCCCAAGTGCTGTGATTAAAGGCATGCGCCACCACTGCCCAGCATAAGAATATATGTAATGCAATAAAATTCAAATAATTTCAACATTGTAATAGAGAATTGTTACCCTTCACATTAATTACATTAATAAGTACTAACCTTCATATGAAATAGAGAAAAGCAACAAGAAGTATCCCTTAGAGCTAATTAACAAGATCCAGGAAACTTTTTAAATCATAATGTGTAAGGACTTATATGACATTCCACAAAAATTTTGTTTCAAAATCAACCTCTTACTGTCAATACACAGCCAGTAGAACACCCAACACCATCATTGCAGCTTGAGAGATATTTGCCTTCTACTTATACTTTCTGATCTTGTACATAGTTTGTACAAACACCCAGTTTATAATTGCTTACCAGGTTGTTTACCACTCTACAATACCAGTGGGACTTGGGAGAGTCAGGCTGATAAATGAGACAAAGTAATTCCTCATGCAATAGCCTGCCTTATTTAGAGCATCAGTCAATTTTTGCTCTGAGGATTAAGAAGAGGCACATGAGTAAAGTGTACAATAATCGGGACAAGATGCACATGGTGGAAAAACCATTCACAGTGAAACAAGTTTTTCCACAGAGGCATATAAAAAATAAAAATAACCAGCTGCAATAAATAATCTAAAGTAAATGCGTGCCTATTTGCTACACTTGAAAGGGTCACAAAAGCATAATCTATCAGCAATTCTGTGTTTTTGAAGAAACTGAGGTTATGAGACTCTTATCTTGTTTTCAAGGAGTTTTCTGACAAACCCTTAGAAATATCCTCACACAAGTCTATTCTTGAACTGTAGCCTCACACTGGATAACTGAAATTTCATATACTCAAATAATATGTCAATTTGTTATTTTTCGTTTAAGGATTTACTGTTTACAAACTATAATTTCAGAATACTTTGTCTTTTCTACTCTTCTGTCTATATACTTCTATTTTCTTTACTCAAGGAGTTCTAACATGCTTATTAACATCTTTCTGGGCATAAATGTAAAGCATAATTCATTTTCCTTCTTCTTTTTGTAAAATTAGCTTTACTATCTACACAAAATTTTAGAAAGGTGTATTTTCATTCATTCTATGAATTGCCATTTTATCTCTTGCAGCTATAAAGAGAATGCTATGTGGTTATCAACCATTCACCATGACCAGCCTATGAAGCCCCTGAACAGAACTATCTTCTGGATTGAGTTTGTCATGCGCCACAAAGGAGCCAAGCACCTGAGACCACTTGCATACAATCTCACCTGGTACCAGTATTACTCTCTGGATGTGATTGGATTCCTACTAGCCTGTGTGGTGGCCACTGCAGTTATTTCTATAAAGTGCTGCTTGACTGCTTATCAATTCTTTGTAAAGAAGGAAAAGAAAGTGAAGAAAAATTAGAGCTCATTATGAATGCAGGTTTTGAATAAAATTTCAGCATCGTTTTAATTTATAAGCTACATTCTAAACACTCACTGATTACTTTACCAAGACAATCTTCTTTGTAATTTTGTACCATGTAAAAAGATAGATATATCTTTTTACATGGTACAAAATATACATATATATGGGAAATGGATCAAAGGATCTTATAATTTATTTTAATTTTTAAACTGTTCAATATAAAAGCATTTGCATGCATAGAAAAATATGGAAATTTAATACATACTTGCCAATGTCATAAAAATAAATATATTGCTGCACCTTGTCTAGAATAGATCAGTGCACTTGCTCTCCTTTCACACTTTACAGACTGCCTGTTTCTCAGGAAGTCTTCCTTAACAAAGAACACAGCTGAGACACCCTCTACAATATCCACTCGAGCTGGAATACCCACATAGCCCAGCTGATGTGGGAGCTAACCCCTCGCCCTAGCTCCTTCTTCTTTCCAGTCTGTACCTCCACTCATGGCAGTTAAAATTGCCTATTCCCTTCCCACACTCTACAAGAGATCTGCTGTAACCAGTGACAAAAGATATTTGTCCTAACCAGGAACACAGGAGTTCTGTCTTAACCAGGGACACAGGAGGCTTACTATAACCAGGAACAGAGGAGGCTCCCCATAATCAGAGGCAGCACTGACTACCTCTCAGAAGGCCTGTTCTAATTCACATCACACAGCTCTACCTGCCTCTAGGAGGCCAGCTGCAGTCAGAGACATGCAGGGCAGTTAATTTCAGAGATAACCAGATGACAAGAGCAAGCTAAAGAACATAAGCAACAGAAGGCAATGTAATCTGGCAGCATCAGAACCAGCTCCTCCCACAACAGCAAGCTCTGCACACCCTAACACACCTAAAAATCAAGATTCTGATCTAAAAACCCATCTCATGAATATGATAGAGGCCCATAAAGAGGATACATATATAACTTCCTGAAAGAAATTAAGGAAAAACAGGGAAACAGGGAGAAATTCTTAATGCCAAAGCATCGAAATTCTTTAAGGAAATACAGGAAAATACCTTCAGGTAGGTGAACGAATTAAACAAAATGGTCCAAGACCTAATAATGTAAATGGAAACAATAAAGAAATGACAAATGGAGGTAACCCTGGAGATAGAAGCCCTAGGAAAGTGGTCAGGAGCTACAGATGCAAGCATCACCAACAGATTATAGGAAATAGAAGAGAGAATCTCAGGAATAAAAGATAACATAGAAGATATTGACATATCAGTCAATGAAAATACAAAGTGTAAAAACTTCTAGCCCAAATCATCCAGGAAATTCAGGACATAATAAAGAGTTCAAAACGTAAAAATAATAAGAATGGAAGAGGGTGAAGATTACCATCTCCAAAGGCCAGAAAGTGTCTAGAACAAAATCATAGAGATAACTTCCATAGCAAGAGATGGGCATAAACTTACAAGAAGCCTACAGAACATCAAATATAATGGAACAAAAAAGAAAGTCCACCAACACATAATAATCAAAACACAAAATGCATAGTATAAAGAAAGAGTATTAATACCAGTAAGGGAATAATGCCAATTAACATATAAAGGAAGATCTATCAGGATTATACCAGATATTTCTTTTTAATTATTGTTTTTTTTATTTATTTACACTTCAAATGTTATCCCTCTCCCTGGTTTTCTCTCCCCAAACCCCCTATCCCATAGTCCTGCCCCCTGCTTCTACAAAGGTGGTCCATCACTGACCCACCCACGCCCACCTCACAGCCCTAGCATTCCCGTACATAGGGGCATCAAGCCTCCACAAGATCAAGGCCTTCTCCTTCCATTTATGTCAGATAAGGCAATCCTCTGCTACATATACAACTGGAGCCATGGGTCCCTCCGTGTGTACTCTTTGGTTGGTGATTTATTTCTTTGTGGACCTTGTTGATTGACATTGTTGTTCTTCCTATGAGGTTGCAATCTCCTTCAGTGCCTTTAGCCTTTCCCCTGACTCCTCCTTTGGGATCCATGTGCTCAATCCTATGCTTAACTGCAAGCATCCACTCCTGTATTGGTCAGGTTCTGGCAGAGTCTCTTAGGGGACACCTATAACAAGCTCCTGACAGCAGTCCATTCTTGGCATCAGCAATAGTGTCTGGGTTTGGTGTCTGCAGATGGGATCGAACCCTCTGGATGACCTTTCCTTAAGTCTCTGCTCCAGTCTTTTAGACAGGAACAATCCTGTGTTCATATTTTTGATATGGATGGTTGGCCCCAACCCTCAAACAGGAGCTGTGTCTAACCTCTGAATATGGTCTCTATAGGTTCTCTCTCCCCTTTGTTGGATATTTCAGTTAATGTCATCCCGTTGGGTCCTGGGAGCCTCCTGAATTTTTGACATCTGGGACTTTCTAGTGGCTACCTCCAGTTCCCCTTCTCCAGCTACATACCTTGTTTCAATTTCTTGTTCCTCTGTACTTTCCTTCTTATGCTCCCACACCTGATTTTGTTAAATTTTCGCTCCCCCTCCTTTCTCCCTCCCAGATCTCTCCCTGTCTCTACTTCCTTTGATTATTTTGTTCCCCCTTCTAAGTAGGACAGAAGCATCCACACATTAGCCTTCCTTCTTCTTGAGCTTCATACAGTCTGTGAATTTTATCTTGGACATTCTGAGCTTTTTTCCTAATATCCATTTATCAATGAGTACATACCATGTGTATTCTTTTGTGACTGGGTTACTTCACTTAGGACAATAATTTCTAGTTTCATCCATTTGCCTAAGAATTTCATGAAGTCATTCTCTTTAATAGCTAAGTAGTACTCAATTGTGTAAATGTACCACATTTTCTGTATCCACTCCTCTTTTGAAGGACATCTAGGTTCTTTCCAGCTTCTGGATACTTTAAATAAGGCCTCTATGAACATAGTGGAGCATGTGTCCTTGTTATATGTTGGAGCATCTTTTTGAGTATATGCCCAGAAGTGGTATAGCTGGGTCCTCAGGTAGTAATATGTACAACTTTCTTAGGAACCACCAAACTAATTTCCAGAGTGGTTGTACCAGCTTCTAATCCCACCAGCAATAAATGTGTGTTCCTCATTCTCCACATCTTGCCAGCATGTGATGTCACTTGAGTTTTACATCTTAGGCATTCTGACTGGTGTAACGTGGAATCTCATGGTTGTTTTGATCTGCCATTCCCTGATGACTAAGGTGGTTGAACATTTCTTTAGGCACTTTTTGTCCATTCAAGATTCCTCAGTTCAGAATTCTTTGTTTAGTTCTGTACCCCATTTTTAATAGGGTTGTGTGGTCTCTGGAACTTATCGAGTTCTTTGTGTATACTGGTTATCAGCCCTCTCTCAGATGCACTGATGGTAAAGACCTTTTCACAATCTGTAGGGTGCAATTTTGTCCTGTTGACAATGTCCTTTGCCTTACAGTAGCTTTTCAATTTTATGAGATCCCATTTGTCTATACTTGATCTTAGAACCTAAACACTGGTGTTCTGTTCAGGAAATTTTCCTCTGTGCCGAAGTGTTCAAGGCCACTTTCTGTTCTATTAGATTCAGTGTATCTTGTTTTATGTAGAGATCCTAGATCTACTTGGACTTGAGCTTTGTACAAGAAATAAAAATGGATCAGTTTGCATTCTTCAACATGCTGAGACCATGATTTAGGCCAGTACCATTTGTTGAATATGATGTCTTTTTTCCACTGGATGGTTTTGGATACTTTGTCAAAGATCAGATGATCATAGATGTGTGGATTTAATTCTGGGTCTTCAATTCTATTCCATTGATCTACCTGTTTATCTCTGTACCAATACCATGTGGCTTTTATTAAGATTTCTCCATACTACAGCTTGAGGTCAGAGATGGTGATTCTCCCTTAAATTCTCTTATTTTTGAGAATACTTCACAATGTCCTGGGTTTTTTGTTTATTATTCCAGAAGAATTTGAGAATTGTTCTTTCTATTTCTGTTAAGAATTGAGTTGGAATATTGATGAAGTTTGCATTTAATCTGGATCTTTAGGAGCTCCTAGAGACATGGCCAGTAACCAGGGAGTATATAAGGACTGGCCTAAGGCTTCTGATAGCAGAAGACTCCCTGGGCTGGCCCAAGCAGGATAGGATGTGCCTAATCCTGTAGAGACTTGAGTACTCAGTGAAGGGAGATGGCTGGTATAGTGGGACAGGCAGAACACACCTTTGGAGACAAGTGGGAGGTGGAATGGGTTGAAAAACTGTGGGAAGGAGATGTCATCTGGAATGTAAACAAATATAACAATTAAATAAAAATCAAAGTATTAACCTTCACGTATTTGAATATTGTCCATTTGTCTCTTTCTTCTAGACTGATACTACAGTATTCTCTTGAGATGTTTTCATGCCACTTCTAGGCTGATACTACAGTATTCTCTTGAGATGTTTTCATGCCGCTTATAGGAATTTGGTATTTGTCACTGGGTTCAGACAAGGAAGTAGGCTCAGATAAGAATATTAGAAACAGTGACTATCGGCTTTGTTTACTTCTTTGCTTTATTACTGTGAGTCAGTAGGCTATGAAGGGAACTGGGTACCTGGTCTACCTCAGGCTTTAAACCCTGGTGACCCTTGGTGATGTTGAGTCATGCTTCTGGGCTCCTGGCTTCTTTCAGAAAGCTACAGCCCACTACAGCCCCCATAGCGAGGTCTGTGGCCATCGGTCAGATAGAAGTAGCACTCCAAGCCCTCACACATGTAGATAAACTATCCCCAAGCTGTCAGAACAAGCCAATAGAAAGTACTTGCTGCTAGACCCTAACCCACCCCAAAACTGTATATAAGAATCCTATCCAGAGGGTAGGAAATAATTACTCCTTTGTCTGAGAGCTTCTGTCAAAAGAGCTGTTATACTACTACTGGGAAAGAGATCTGCTCTCTGGAAACACCATCAGGAGCTTCCCTACACTCCTTGCTAGATTGTTGACCTCTCACCAACTCTGTCTGGCCCAATTCAGCACACAACAACAGGTGCAATGTCTTGAAGCAACTGAAGAGGTTACAGCAGAGATTGAGGTGGAGGTAGCTGAAGCAGAGGAGGCAGCGGAGGTAATTTCCCCTCCCTGCCCACACTCTCTCCCCTTTGTCTGAGCCTTCACAGCTGGCCGGGCCAGAGACCTCTGTCCTAAGCCTTCAGCACACAGGCCAACAAATTACTACCTCATGTGGTCTCTTTGCTTACTACTTTAATGAATTATTACCTTGTGTGATCATTTTGCTTACTACTCTGCTTGATTACTTTCTTGTGTGATCTCCTAGTTTACTACTTTTCTTGATGACTGTCTTTGATCTAAGAACTGACCATGTGTTTTGGATATACCTAGAATGATATAAAAGCAGGCTGGAGAGAACTAAAGCTGCTTCAGCATCAGTACAGGCTGGAGTTGTGTTGCAATTTTGTCTACCTGTTTTCTTTTTCAATCCTCACTCCCTGGATTGAGACTCTGTTGACTGATTAAGCTGGCTTGGTCAGATGGCACCCAAAGTGAGGCTCAGGGAAGGAGGATACAGTTGAAGGACACCACTGAGAGAGCAATACTCAAAAAGGAAATGAAAGGGAAAGAAAGATACAAGATTTGGGCCAATAGAAAATACATTTTGTAAACAGAGACAAGGTAATGGTAGAATGTACATGAAAGATATAGGAAACTAAAGTAGATTTGAAATAAACCATGTAAAAAGACAAGGTAATGGGAGAATGTATTTTGTCTATGTGTTTAGAGTTATGATGGATTATAGAGGAGCAAAGATAATTCTCATAGATGCTTTTAGTCTTTGGATCCTGATCAGAGATAGTTTACATGAGAGAGGAAATGGGTTTCAGAAGAACATTTGTCCCCTCTATCTGGGACACTGTGTAGAAAGAGAAGGAACATGAACATGAAGTTGACACTGACATTTGGCCTATTGCATGGGCAAACTTTCTAGGCAAATTGGATAATCAATATCAGAAGACAATTTCTTACAATTTGCCTCTCTTGAGAATGTGCACTTCAAATTGTAATGACTTGTACTGAATGTCCTCAGTTTCTTCATCCACCACATAACTGTATTAGTCCTCTAAGACTGGTACCTAATCAATTATGGCAAATGGATGTTACGCCTATTTCTGACTTTGGAAAAGTAAAATATGTACATGTGACTACTGATACCTTCTCAAGCTTTGTTTTTGCAACTGCTTTATCAGGAGAGGCAACTAAAATTGTGATGACTCATTGCCTCCTTTGTTTTTCAATGCTGGCTATTCGAAATCAGATTAAAACCAATAATGGAACTGGCTATTGCAGCCAAGCTTTTGAGATTTTTTTATTGACAATTTAATATTAACCATATTACTGGGATTTTATATAATTCTCGAGGACAAGGTATTGTGGGACAGGAACATGGAATTTTAAAACAATATCCTCATGAAATAAATAAGGGAGAATTACATATACCACAAATTTATTTAAATCTTTAAAAATTTCTATGCAAGGAAATTTTTGCTAAGTGTCTATGGCAACCTACAAATTGACATATTTATGCCTAGGTGAAATGGAAAGATCCACTTATTGGCATATGGCGTGATCACAATCATGTATTAATATGGGAAAGAGGGCATGTTTGTGTTTATTTTTTTTCTTCTTCAGGATGCTGAAGAAGCATGGTAGCTGCCAGTGTGATCAGTGACAAATGTTGATGCTGGGAGAAAGAATGGTACTGACTGTGATCTTGCTGAGTGCCCTGACAATGGTTACAGGGAAGCTGTATTGGGCCTATGTTCCTGACCTACCACTGATACATGCAGCAGTGTGGTCTAGACTGGAGATTGTCATGATCTCCCTTAACAATGGAGCCAACTTATAATAGGACTATGACTTTCAATGCATTTGGTGATGGGATTTCTGTTTACTTTGTGAAGAATAGTATAGGTATATTTGTGTGTTTCCTTTAAATATGAATTTATTATTAATTGGTCTTGTCAAAATTACTTTTGTTTCTTTTATGGTATTTAGTGAAATTTGTATTAATTGTACACTTTCTAATTGTGTTAGTGTACTGAAATCTCACATGTCTGTTATGGTGATTTATCAACCAGCTTTTGTATTATTGCTTGTGAGTATTACAGGACCTTGGTAATCTGGAAAAGACTTGGAAATACTGGAAGAAGTGAGTCAGAGTTTGAGCAGAAGCAGGAGGGTAATGGGCTTGATTATTGCTGGTATAGCAGCTTTGATTATATTAATAGCTAGCATAATTGCTTCTGCAATTGCTTTGATATAAGAAGTTAAAACAGCTACTTTTGTTAGTCATTTAGCAAGAAAAAATGTTACTAATTCTCTGAGTAATCAAGAAGAATCAGATAGATGTCTAGAACAATAAATTGACATTCTTACTGATACTGTTCAAACTATTGGAGAGGAAGGTCAGAGCTTAAGATTAAGAAGTCATCTTGAATGCCATCTAACTATCAACGGAAATTTCAACAAGACTTGCAGGGTATTTGGCATAACTCTAACACCATTCTAAATAGTCTAACTTTCTGTAAGGAGATCATTAATTTAAGGAATATGAAGTTCAAAGCAAACTCATCCCAGGATTGCATGGCATTCCTTTTTTCTTGCTCATCCTGATTTATGGCTTAAGGTCAGTATTTCAATCTTGGTCAGGCTTCAAGAATGGCTTATATAGCCTTCTGCCCCTGCCTGGTCCTCCGGGCTGGAGCAGACACAGAGTCGGTCTGCTCCCGTCCTGTGGAGAAACTGAATCCTGAGTCATCCAGGAGCCACTGCACTCAGAGCAGCTGGTAAGAACTCCATCTCACTCCCTAAACCCCAGAGATAGATCGGGGAGCCAGGGACATCCAGGGCACAGCAGCTACCCAAACCCCGCCCCTCCGGAATTCCACTTCCCTTCTGCCCCTGCCTGGTCCTCCGGGCTGGGGCAGACACAGAGTCGGTCTGCTCCCGTCCTGTTGAGAAACTGAATCCTGAGTCATCCAGGGGCCACTGCACTCAGAGCAGCTGGTAAGAACTCCATCTCACTCCCTAAACCCCAGAGATAGATCAGGGAGCCAGGGACATCCAGGGCACAGCAGCTACCCAAACCCCGCCCCTCCGGAATTCCACTTCCCTTCTGCCCCTGCCTGGTCCTCCGGGCTGGAACAGACACAGAGTTGGTCTGCTCCTGTCCTGTGGAGAAACTGAATCCTGAGTCATCCAGGAGCCACTGTACTCAGAGCAGGTGACACAGAGTCGGTCTGCTCCTGTCCTGTTGAGAAACTGAATCCTGAGTCATCCAGGAGCCACTGCACTCAGAGCAGCTGGAGCCACTGCACTCAGAGCAGCTGAAACTGAATCCTGAGTCATCGAGGACCCACTGCACTCAGAGCAGAAGGATTTCCAGATCCAAGAGGTGGCCTGAGTCCCAGGAGTTATTCCACCCAGGAGATTAGGAGCATAAGACCACAGAGACCTCTGGACTCTGAGGAGCTCTGCAATAAGCAAGATACCTGAAATACAGACTCCAGTTTTACACAGTGAGGGCAGGTACCACTAGAGTTAACCAGATGGCGAAAGGCAAGCGCAGGAACATAAGCAACGGAAACCAAAGTTTCTTGGCATCATCAGTGCCCAATTCTCCCAATATAGCAAGCCCTGAACACCCCATCACACCTGAAAAGCAGGATTCAGAATTAAAATCACTTCTCATGATGATGATAGAGGATTATAAGAAGGAATTAAGTAACTCCCTTAAAGAAATACAGGAGAGTACAAGTAAACAGATAGAAGCCCTTAAAGAGGAATCACAGAAATCCCTTAAAGAAATGGAAGAAAACACAAAGAAGGAATTAAACAAAAACATTCAGGATCTGAAACTAGAAATAGAAACAATAAAGAAAGTTCAAAGGGAGACAACCATGGAGATAGAAAACCTAAGAAAGAGATCAGGAGTCACAGACGCAAGCATCACCAACCGAATACAAGAGATAGAAGAGAGAATCTCAAATGCAGAAGATACGGTGGAAAATATTGACACAGTTGTCAAAGAAAATGCAAAACGCAAAAAACTCCTAACTCAAAACATCCAGGAAATCCAGGACACAATGAGAAGACCAAACCTAAGGATAATAGGCATAGATGAGAATGAAGATTCCCAACTTAAAGGGCCAGTAAATATCTTCAACAAAATTATTGAGGAAAACTTCCCTAACCTAAAGAACAAGATGCCCATAAACATACA